CTTGAGTCACTAAATGAACGGTCGTTAAGACGAGGACTGCATGCAAGCAGCAGCTCAAGGCGAGGGAGCGTCGGGAGAGGCCGCCAGTTAAAGCTCCGCAGGCGGGACGGGACATTTATCACCCCCCACCCCACCCCCACAACGCCCGCCTTTCTCTCTCTCTCTCTCTCTCCCCGAAACCCGGAGCGAAGGCGGGCATCGTGACAAGCTCCGCCGAGACTTCGGGGACCACCACCCCGAGCGGGGAATGGCAACGGCTCGCCTCTCTCCTCCACGGGGACTTTCCCCTCGCCCCCCCAGCCGGCTTCCCGCCAAGCCTTTAGTCGCCCTGAGGAGAAGAAGCGAGGCCAAGGGTCCCGTCCCCCCCGCCGCCACCTGCCCTCCTCCCCCCCCCACCACCAGCGAGGCCAACCAACGGCCGTGGCCCACCTCCCCGCCCGCCACGCGCGTTCCCCCCCCGCGCGCACGCGCGCCCGTCACGTGACGCTCCTGCCGCGCGACCCCCGTACCGGAAACGCCTCGAGGCCGCGGGGACCCTCCGGCCGCGGAAGGAAGGGGGGGGGCAGGAAGGAGGGAGGGAGGGAAGAGGCCCTCCCGCCACTGTTGCTCCTTCGTTGCTCCGGCCGTCGCCGCCGCCGCCGCCGCCGCTGTTGCTTCTGGCCCTGACGGCTCTCCCGCGGCCTCCGCCTCTTTTGTTTCTGCGGGGCCGGAGGGCGGAGCGGCGACGAAGGGAGGAGGCCTCTCTCGCCGCCGCCGCCGCCGCCGCCTTCTTGGCAGCTCCGCCCTCGGCGAGGAGAAGCCGGGAGGATGGGAGGCCACGCGGAAATCCCGGAGTCGAAAGAAGGTCTCCCCACCCCGCTGCGGGGCGGGGGGAGGCTTTGAACTATACCTGCCCTGCTTCGTCTTTTCGGCTCAAGGAGGGCTGGAGGCTAAAACACATGAAAGGACGGTTGCAGGAACTGGACATGGCTAGTCCTGTGAGAAGAGAAAGACCAGGGGAGACAGGATAGCAATGGTCCAATATTTGAAGGGCTGCCACAGAGAGGAGGAAGGAGGTCAAGCTATTGTCTAAACTAAGCACCTGTAGGCCGAGACAAGGAATAATGGATGGAAAATGAACAAGGAGATATTTAACTTGGAAATAAGGGGAAACTTTCTGACAGGACAATCAATGGAACAGCTTGCACTGGGAAGTTGTGGGAGCGCCATCACTGGAGACTTTCAAGAAGAGATTGGACTGCCATTTGTCAGAAATGGTGTAGGGTCTCCCCTTTGGACAAGATGACCTACAAGGTCCCTTCCAACTGATTATCTGTTATTAGCTGAATAGTGCAAGCAATTGTTAAGCAAATGATAAGGGAATAAACGGTGCACCCAAGAATCATCCAATGCTAACTTATAAAGAACGGTTGCAGGAACTGGGCATGGCTAGTCCAGTGAAGAAAAGGACCAGGGGAGATATGAGAGCAGCCTTCCAATATCTGAGGGGCTGCCACAGAGAGGAAGGGGGCAAGCTATTTTCTAAAGCAGCCAAAGCCCAGACAAGGAATCATGGATGGAAACTGAACATGTATCAGAAATAAGGAGAAATTTTCTGACAGTGAAATCACCTGGTGGAACAGCTTTGCCTTCAGAAGTTGTGGGAGCTTCATCACTGGAGGCTTTCAAGAAGCGGCTGGATAGCCACCTGTCAAAAATGGTGTAGGGTCTCCTGCTTGGAGGGGGCAGGTTGGACTAGATGACCTACAAGGTCCCTTCCAACTCTTGCTATTCCAGTATTCTGTTAATTGCTGTAACTGTTATGGCCTTGAAGTTTTAGTCTGGCTTACCTGCTTTAACTTGGCAGATCAACGTTCCTATTTGCACTCTACAGCTAGTCCTAGACTTACAACAGTTTCATTAGTGACAGATTGAAGCTACAGCAGCACTGAAAAAAGTGACTTGGGACCAGTTTTCACACAACTGTCCCAGCATCCCCATGGTCACATGATCAAAATCAGATGCTTGGCAACTGACTAGCATTAATGATGGTTGCAGTGTCCCAGACATGTGAGCCCCTTTTGCCACCTGACAAGCAAAGTCAATAGAGAAGCAAAATTCACTTAACCGTGTTACTATCAACTGCAGTGATTAACAAGAATGGCCATAAAAGGGCAAACCTCTCAAAAATCGTCTCGCTTAGCAGTAAAAAATTTTGAGCTGTTGTGTTCGTAACTCCAGGAGTTATTATGAACGCTCTCTGCACAGCTTCGGATCCAACCAGACTGGGATTTATTTATATTCCTTGCAGACAGCTGGTCATTTGCATCCTTTTGACGGAGTCCTTGAGGCCACGTGGAGGTTTGTCTGTGTCCTCGGGGGTCACCTGATTAGTGCAAATGGGTGTGGGGCCTTCTTGGAACGGCTGGAAGGATTGTGTTGTGGAGCTGTGCTTTCTGCAGGATGTTTCCACCTTGTGTCCTTTAGCTTTTGAACACGAGGGCAGGCTATTGGGGATGATTCTGTGTTGTCTCCAAAGGGTTCCTGTAATCTGCAGTTTTTCTCTCTAGAAATTCGTTCATACTCCTGCACCATTCGGATGCCTCCAAGTGGCCTCAACAACTCTCTAAAAGAATGGAAATGACCAGCTGTCTGCAAGGAGTTGCTGATTCCATTCCCCCACTGTTCAGTCCCCAGCCACTCAGTCATTAAAGATGCAGACCGGAAGAGAGATCTTTGCAGAAGGTTGATTTATTTGCTTCAACAACCAATCTCACAATCTTGAGTCCAAGAAGGATTCATTAAGAGCTACTTGAACCTTAAGTCAAAGCTATAAGGAAGTTTAGAATGAGGAATTAAACTAAAGCAAGCACTTAAAAAGAAACAATGAGAATTTATCATTACAAAACAGTGCGGAGCGTAAAAAAAAAGACAAGCAGACAAAAGTTGAGAAAAAGATTTCAAGCAGTTTGAGATTAAATACATTTTGCTTTAGGCAGTTGTTACTTGGATTTTCTGCACCAAACTATTCTGAAATTTTTATCTTTAGTGGTTAAACAGAGATGTATAAAAATGTTTTACATCTTTGGGAATGAGCATTCATTTTACTTGTCAAGTCTGTTCAATCAGCATCCATGTTATGTTTTTAATTAGTGCAATATTACACTTCAGGGTTATTTTCATCTTTACTATCTCAATTTTCATTCTTAACCATTTCCAAGGTCTGGTTAAGGCTTGAATGTCAAAATCTGGAGGGGCTGAAAGGTCACTTCCTTTTCAGCCAAGAAGAGGAGGGGATCTAAGAACAGGATTCTTGCTTCCTACGAAGAAATCTCAAGGCAAGGGAAGGAGGTGGTAATTAAGAAGGGCCATCAAGAAATTAACTCTTTGATCTAGTTAAAGGACAACTGATGGATTTTACTGCATTAGGCGTAGCTGACTATACCTGGTGGTGCTCATCTCTGTTTCATGGCCACTGAGCATCTTAACTGCTGAGCCACAGCGCCTCCCGCATCTAGTAATTAGTATAAAATGTGTATAAATTGGGACAAATTTATTTGCTTACTGCATAAGCAATATCACACAGGTATTTTGGAGACCTCTACAAAGGGTCTATGTGAGAGAAAAGGCAGGTGTGTAATACACATTAGGAATCTGGAAGCGGATTACTGCAGTTTCAGAAGTTTTCTTCCTCTTAAATAAAATGCACAACCATTGTTCTTTTCTGACCACTTTATAGAAGGGATTTCTTCCGTAACCTTGCTGTTTTCCGTATTTTCTAAACATTTCTACCTTTGAACTGTCAGGTGGGAATCTGTAATACATACATCAGTTTTCCCACCCCTTCTGCTGAACAAGAGGTAAAAACTCTTGCACTCTCCAGTGGAGTGGCAAATGGGATTTGTTACCCGTTTGCCCAGAATTCTGAAGTTAGTTTAACAGTGGAAGAAAGTTAGGGATTTGTAAGCGTCTTCTCTGTTCGCCAGTCATTGGTTCATATTAGCAATAGCAGTTAGATTATATTATCCCGCTTCACAGTGCTTTTACAGCCCCTCTCTAAGCTGTTTAGAGAACATATGGCCCCCAACAATCTAGGGCCTCATTTTACCAACCTTAGAAGGATGGAAGCTGAGTCAACCTTAAGCCGGATGGGATCGAACTCCCGGCAGTGGGCAGAGTTGTTCTGCAATACTGCATTCTAACCACTGTGCCACCAGGGCTCTTTTATTAATAATACTCTTCCGTCCTGACACTGCAATGGATCCATCTTTTATGCTCTAACCTTTTTTCTTATATACAAGGCATAGTTTATTTCACATTTTCCGTTGCTTTTCTATATTTGGCTGACGCGTTTACCTATTATTATTTCAATTATGGGGGTGTGATGGATTTAATCGGTGAATTAAAATGGGTTACGCTACCACCGACCAGCAATGGGCCCCCTACAGGTGCTCACAGGAGCAACGGAAGATCAAAGGAAGGAAGAAAACAGGCTCTCTCATTCATTCATCAGAGTTTATGTTCACGCTGGCAGCGGGTCCTGGGGTTTGAAGCATCCCCAAGGCCTCCTCCCTACAGGCCTGATGGAGGGAGGGCACAATCTGTCTGCTGAAGGCGGTACAGGATGGGATTTTATAGTTGGGGGCAAGCAACTTCAGGAGGTGCTGGAAACCTGCCTCTTCCACCAGGCGGAAGGGCTGGTCATCCAGAGCCACCGTCTGATCAACAGCAGAGGGCGCTTCCAGTGGCTTTGGACCTGCCTGCCTTTTCCCGGGCGACTTCTGCACCGTCCAGCACTGCGGCAGGACAGATCCCTTCGCCTTTCTGCTAGCTGGCAACGCAGTTTGAGGCACGGTAACGACAGCTGGGACAAAGTTGGCGTGATGCCTCTGCAGATGTTTCAGCAGCCCCGACGTCGAAAAACGTTTCGAATTCCTGCCTCGGCTGATCCGCCTCTTGCAATGGGCGCAGACGCCGTAGCAGGGGTCCTCGGAATCCAACTCAAAGTGGTCCCACACCACGCTGTGCTCCGGACTGGTGCGGGGTCTCTTTAGGGAGGGTGGTTTGTCCGAGAGGAGTTTCGGGACCCCATGACTGCCCTCCCTAGGAAAGGAATGTGGAAGGGGAGTCCTCTGGTATCCCTTCCGATGAACGGCCTGCTCACGACGTTCCTTTTCTGTTCCGTCTTGCGGCTTTCGTGGCTCGGATCTTCCGCCCGGCTTCTCGCCTTTTACAGGCACGTGGCTGTAGCCGGCCTGTGGCTCCGTCCTGCAAGCATCTTCCGTTTCACTTTCTCCATCCCGAGCAATCTCAACTTTGATGTAATCTCCCATTTCATTCCCTGGGGAAACAAAAGAGGCACGTTAATGGGGCTGCTAAAGCAAGGGTACCCAACCCTTGAGCCGCAGCCCGGTACTGGGCTGCAACCTGCTGGAAACTGGGCTGCGGAAGCGGGCTGTGGACAGGGGTGAAGAGGTGTGCGTGCGCAGTTCCACCTGCATGTGCAAATGCAGCTGGGCGCCCCACTCACCCAGAACCATCCAACTCCCCTCATGGTCTGCAAAGCTTGGGGAACGCTGTGCTAAAGGGTAAATCTTTTCTCTTTATGTACGCTGAGAGCATTTGCACCAAGACAAATTCCTTGTGTGTCCAATCACACTTGGCCAATAAAGAATTCCATTACGTTTTGTTCTATTATCTATCCATCCATCCATCTAATCTACCTTCATATTATCTATATCTATCCATCCATCCATCTAATCTACCTATTATCTCTACCCTATCCATCCATCCATCCATCTAATCTACCTATCATCTACCTACCTATTATCTCTATCCTATCCTATCGATCCATCCATCCAATCTACCTTCCTATTATCTATATCTATCCATCCATCCATCTAATCTACCTATCATCTACCTACCTATTATCTCTATCCTATCCATCCATCCAATATACCTTCATATTATCTATATCTATCCATCCATCCAATATACCTACCATCTACCTACCTATTATCTCTATCCTATCCTATCTATCCTATCCATCCATCCCTCAAATCTACTTACCTACCTACCCATCCAGCTACCTATCTATTCTCTCTCTCTCCATCCCTATTCTGCACTATTACTATTAACCTTCTCATCATTCCTTATCACCCATCCCCTCCCACTTGTGACTGTATGACTGTAACTTTGTCGCTTGTATCCTTATGACCTATATTGACTGTTTTCTAGTATGATTTGATTGCTTATTTGTACCCTATGACTATTATTAAGTGTTGTACCTGATGATTCTTGACTCTTGACAAATGTGTCTTTTCTTTTATGTACACTGAGAGCATTTCCACCAAGACAAATTCCTTGTGTATCCAACCACACTTGGCCCATAAAGAATTCTATTCAAATAAGGTACACCAACTCTTGCCAAAAAATAAATTAATAAATAAAACCAAACAAGCAGTACAAGTAGTCCTCAACGTACGACCACAATGGAGCCCAAAATTTATGTTGCGAAGTGAAATATTTGCGAAGTGAATTCTGCCCCGTTGTATGACTTTTCTTGCCACATTTGGCCCTTCGGGGCATCACTGCAGTTGTTCAGATTAGTCACAGGGTTGTTCAAGGTGACTCCCTGGCCTTCCCCATTGACTTTGCTTGTCAGGAGGTCGCAAAGGGACAGTGCCATGGTCATAAACAGGACCCCCACCCAACCTTTTGGGCACTAAGGACCAGTTCTGTGGAGGAAGCTTTTTCTGCAGACTGGAGGAGGTGTGGTTTTGTGTGCTGCCTGCGTTTTGTGGGTGGGGTTTCACTTGTTTGCGTAGCCCTGCTCCTGGCATGCCATGGACCAGTGCCAGTCCACGAACTGGGGGTTGCCACCTTCCCCCGGTCTTAAATAGATACCCGTTGCCAAGAATCCAAATTTTGATCACATTACCGTGGGGACGCTGCTCTTGTGGTTCGCCAGCAGCAGGTGCAGACAGCTGAGGTCTCGGAGAGCGAGGTCTCGCACGAGGAGCCTGCGTGTGATGTAGGGATGGGGCCAGGACCATCAGGGAGTGGAGTGCTGCCTTCGGAGATTGTGGAGGCTGGCAGCAGTGATGAAGAGGACCCCAAGGAGCCTGTGCCCAGTGCACGTGCACGCAGGGCTGCTCGAAGGAAAGAGCAGCTGCAGCAGCATGGGCGACTCGGGAGTAAGGCTGCAAGGTGATGGCCCCTCCCATAAGGGATAAAAGCCAGCTGAGAAACTGGAGTTCTTTGCAGGAAGCAAAGAAGTTTTTGCCCTCAAACCTCGTGGATGTTCGGAATATCTTGGTTGGTGTTTGGAGACTCTTTGTGTTTGAAATATTCCTTGGCAACTTTATCTAGTGTTCTTGGCGGCCTTCCACGACCTTGGCAAGGCTCGTTCTTATCAGAGACAATTAGTTTTAATACCTTTTAACCGTAACTTAAAGGAATTTGCAAAGAGGCATTAAAAGATTTTGCTTTTATCTGTTTGGTGTTTGTTTACTTGGAACAAGGTTTGAGTCAGAACAGCTGCAGTGGTCATTAAGTGTGAAAAACGGTCATAAGTCACTTTTTTCAGTGCCATTATAACTTTGAGTGGTCACTAAATGAGTCGAGGACTCCCCATATTGTATCCTCCCAGATTTATATTTAACTCGACTAAGTGGGAAGAGGTTTAACATCCATTTTATGTTACGGAATGGAAAATCGTCTACAAATTCCCTTCACGTCTAAAAAGTCAGAAATTAAATCTAATCAAATGACATCTGCAAATACAGTATAAGTCCTTGGCTTACAACTCAAAACGTTATGTTGTTAAGGGGAAAAAAAAATATTCCCTGAGCTTTGTCCCATCTTATGACCTTTCTTGCCACGGTTGCTAAGTGAATCGCTGCAGCTGTTGAATTAGCAGCATGGCTGTTAAGGGAATCTGGTTCTCCCATGGACTTTGCTTGTCAGAAGGCCGCCAAAGGGGATCCCACGACACCCACCCACCCCAGGACATTGCAACCGTCATAAATAGGAGCCAGTTGCCAAGCCTTTGAACTTTGATCCCGTGACTCTGGGGAAGATTGCAACGGTCATTAAGTGTGGAATACACAGTCCCAGCAGTCGCTTTCTTCAAGGCCGATCACTACATGAACTGTTGTGGTGAAGTCGAGGAATACCTGTCTTTGGATCTCTGTCTGTGGCGGCGTCGGCCTCCTGCAGGACTTGCCAGAGCGTCGTCTGTTGGAGGCCTGGTTGGGTCAGGCGCTGCTTGACGATTTGCAGAGACCCTCCAGTTTCCTTGAAATCCCTGGAGCCCTGCAAACACCAAGAGAGGCAACAAGCCTTTTCATACTTTGCAGCGTGACCCTCAGCCAACGATGGGCACGCTTCCCTGAGGCTGATGGCGGATCAAACAAACTAACCATTCCCATTAAGATTCTTCCTGAAAAAAAACCCGGCGTTAAGACAAGCTTCCTCAGAGCACAGTTGTTTTCCTCTAAACAACTGCCCTGGATGCCCACAAACAACTGTCTATGTCGGGGGTCAGCAACCCACGGCTCCGGAGCCTCTTTAGGCCCTCTGGTGTGGCTCCCTGTTGGGTGATCCCATCCCTCGCTGGCCCCACCCCTTGCCCTCCCCTCCCGGTCACTCCTCGCCTGGCCTGAGAAGGTAAAACACAAAAAACAGAAATGAGAGGGAGGGGGACAGAGAGAGGGAGCGGGAGAGAGTGAGAGAGACCCATTTCTCACAGAAAACACGGGGAACCACAAAACCAGGGTGTCAACTCATAAAATATTTCTATGGTCTTTTTAGCGTTGCAAACAGAAAGGGAGGGGGAAGCAGTGCGGCAGCTTGCAAAACCGAAAGGGCATTCCATAAATGTTTTCAAAGATAGTAACTAGGTGACTGAACTTTCTGTCGCTCAAAATTCTAACTGGAGAGCATGATTGATGACTCTGGGCTATGGATGTGTCCCATTGGAGAATATGAATTATGATATACTCGGGGGAGGGGGGGAAACAGGGTCAAGGGTGACAATGAGCGATGTGCCTCAGAGTCGGCTACACCCAGGCAGTGCCGGCATATTTACTCTCAATAAATTCTTTGGAAGTTTTAGAAGTTTGGCTCGAGATTCCTGATTTAAATGGGGTTAAGTGCTGGAATCCTGACACTGGGTAGGTGTGTGTCATGTGACTGAGTGGGAGTGACGTTGGGTTGGCCACGCCCACCTGGGTTTTGTGGCTCCATGTTTTCTGTGGGAAATGGGTCCAAATGACTCTTTTGAGTGTTTAAGGTTGCAGACCCCCTGGTCTATATACAGGTAGTCCTTGATTTGCAACCGTTCTTTCGGTGACTGTTCAATGTAACAGCAGCACTGAAAAAAGGACTCGTGACCGTTTTTCACGCTTACAACCATTGCCCCTTGCTTCCCGTATGCTCATAGGATCAAAATTCAGCTGCTTGGCAACTGACTCATATTTAGGATAGTTGCAATGTCATGTGATTCCCCCTTTGTGACTCTCTGACCAGCTACCGTCAACGGGGAAAGCCGGATTCGCTTAACAGCCCTGTGACCAACTCACTAGCTGTTCTGATTAGCTGGCAGCAGATGCGGACGGCTGAGAGCGAGGACTCAGGATGAGGGGCCAGAACCATTAAGGAGTGGACTGCTGCCTTCAGATATTGTGGGGGCTGGTAGCAGCGATGAGGAGGTTCCCGAGGAGCCTGTGCCAAGTGCGCGCAGGGCTGCTCGCAGGAAAGAGCAGCTGCAGCAGCACGGGCGACTCGGGAGTAAGGCTGCAAGGTAATGGCCCCTCCTTCAAGAAGAAAAAAGCCAGCTGTGAATTGGACGTTCTTTGCAGGAAGCAAAGACATTTTGAAACTCGAGCCTCATGGACCTTGCAGTATCTTAGTTGGTATTTGAAGACTCTTGCGTTGTAAAATATTTCTAGGTAAACTTATCTGTTATTCTTGGCAGCCTCGCACAGTTTTGGCGAAGCTTGCGCTTATCAAAGTTAATTTGCAGAAGCCTTTTAACCAGGGATTCATAAAAATCATTAAAAGGTTTCTGTTCCCTTTGGTTTGTTTTTCTCTGATTGGAAAAGGGTTTGGGTCAGAACACTAACATGTTATTAGCTGAATGACTGCGATCGTTGCTCAACAATTGCAGCAAAAAGGCCATCCAGTGGAACATAACTCATTTAACGACTGTCTCATTTAGCACACAACTCCATTGTGGTCGTTAAGTCGAGGACTACCCGTACACCATAAACATGGCCCATACCTCTTTCCCTTCAGTCTTTGCTTCTTCAGGAGGAGTTAGCAAAAGAGAGAGACCCGGAGGTTTGAATCCATTGACTGGGCAGAATTTAAAAAAGAGAGAGAGAGAGAGAGATTTTTAATAGGGAATTTTGAAATAGGAAGTCTTTTCCTTGTTTATTCGTTAAAAAAATGTTATAAAAGAGGATAGGGGGGAAGCTCTAAGGAGAAGCAGCCTCTAAATCAAATGACAGGAGAAAGTGTTTCTGCTTAAAAACTTCAAAACCTTCTTTCTACTCAGGATTCAGGAGGAATCCTAACGGTAGATGCAAATGGCCTTGGGAGAAAGAAGAGAAAGTCGCAGACCTATGGGTAAAAGATATCTCAGCCCACAGAGAAGGAGTGTGAGAAACTCCTTCAAAAGCTAACCTCCCTTGTTTTCTGGAGAGCAAAAGGAAAGAAATATTTTCCTTTTTGCGAGATTATGTTAACATAACCTTACAATCAAGACAGAGCTGACACTCACAGTTATCTGCTTCTTATCTGGACTACCTTGCAGAGCTAACAGACCCCTTTTGATGGAGGGTTTTTATTAACATGACTTATTCGACTTGGAACTTAGAGCAACTTTATTGTCACTTTGAATGTACACTAATGGGCATACATTAAAATGAAATTTCACTGCATACAGTGCTCAAAGAGTCAGCTCCTCCAATATATACCACATAAACATATATATTAAAATAAATAAACAAACAAACAAACAAATAATCTGCATACCCACATATATTATATGAAGTATAATATATTTTTAGTTTGGATATATACATGTACATGGGGAAAAAAAAGGAATCTTGCCTGCTTAACATCCTTTGCTGGTTAGTTTTTCTTGTTCATAACTAGCCTTTTCTATTCAGGCCGCTGACCAAAACTAACCATTCTAAATTAATTGTCTTTCCCAGTGAGGTAGCCACAGCAATAGCCCTTAGACTTATATGCCGCTTTGCAGCCCTCTCTAAGCGGTTTACAGAGTCAGCCTATTGCCCCCAAACAATCTGAGTTTTCATTTTACCGCCCTCGGAAGGATGGAAAGCTTGAGTCAACCTTGAGCCGATCAGGATTGAACTCCTGGCAGTGGGCAGAGTTTGCCTGTACCATCACTAAACAGGTAGTCCTCAACTTTATAACTGTAAGTTTAGTGACCGTTCGAAGTTACAACGGCACTGGAAAAAAGTGACTTATGACCATTGCAGCAATTCCCCGTGGTCATGTGATCAAAATTCAGAGGCTTGGCCACCGCTTCATATTTATGACGGTTGCAGTGTTCCGGGGTGTGTGTGTGTGTGTGTGTCACGTGATCTGTTTTTGTCACCTTCTGGCAAGCAAAGTCAACAGGGAAGCCAGGTCCACTTAACGATGGGGCGACTAACGTAGCAACTGCAGTGAGTCACTTAACGACGAAGGCAAGAAAGACCGCAGAATGGGGCAGAGCTTGCTTAATGACTGTCTTGCTTAGTGATGGAAATGTTGGCCTCCACTGTGCTCGTATCTGTATACCAAAGATTAACCTATCAACTAAGGTCAGTGGGGGCAAACCTTTTGGGGCTCCCTTGCCGATAATGCTCGCGTGCCAGCACCCAGAAGGCAATGCGTGCTGCCATCCCACTCTGTCCTGCGCATGTGTGCAAAATCCCCCTGCAGCACGCTGCCCGTCTGCGCGTGCATGCGAGATCCCCTTGCTGCACGCTGTGCGCCTGCCACACAACTCCCCCGCCACGTGCCACGCATCTGTGTCTGCGTGTGCGATTCCCCACCACATTCTCTGGGCCTGCGTACGAGATCACCCTTCCATGTGCCGTACGTTGGCGCAGGTGTGCGTGATCACCCCCGTGCCATGTCTGCGCAGGTGCGCGCGACCCCCAGTGTGGGTGCTGCGTATCTCTGTGCATGCGCACGTGTCTCCTGCGCCCCGGCCTCCTGCGTCAGATACCTGACAATCAGCTGTTGGGGAGAAGGCACGTGCATAAGCGCAATGTGGCTCTTCCGGGCAAGCTCTCGCGTGCCGTGGGAAATGGCTCTGTGTGCCACTTCCAGCACATCTGCCATAGGTTCACCATCATAGACTTAGGTCCTGCACTCTTTGCAACAATGATCTTGCATGGATTATTGTTATGAAGAGGGAAAAAAAACCCTTCATAAAAGATGAACCGGCTCAGCTAAGAATTAGATATTGAAGAATTGAGAAGGAGATGGGAAAATAAAAAAATGTGATCGATGGGATTCTACAGGTTTGCACCTATTCGCTAGAACCGGTTGTTAACATTCTAAGCAGTTCAGAGAACCGGTTGTTAGAAGAAATTACCAGGCTAATCCTGTAAGGAAGGCAGGAAGGAAACATTCTGGTGGTGCTTACAGAAACTGCCTCTCCATTAACCCTTATTACATTCTTAGCAGGACTAGATGTCCTGTCTCTGGAACTTCTCTGGAGTTTTTTTACCCTCCTTTGCTGGTCCTGTGCTTGTGTGGAGTGACCATTTAAAGTTACAATGGCCCTGAAAAAAGTGACTTGTGACCCTTTTTCACACTTAAGTCTGTTGCAGCATCCCCACAGTCATGAGAGGCCAGGCGAGGAGATGCGTGCCTCGATGAAAGTGATATTGAGTTGGCCACGCCCAGCCAGTCACATGAACACCAAGCCACACCCACCAACTAAGCCACACCCACAGAACCGGTTATTAAAAAAAATTGAATCTCACCCCCCCGATGGATACATACATGCATATCTACATGCGTGCATCGTTACCAACGTTTTACAGGTCTGACCAGAGATGCAAGGACAGAAGAGAGGGTGCATCCGGTTCTTCTAGAACTCAGCTGGTCCAGCTTTTCTGACCCTCCACGATCGACTTTCGTTTCCCCAATTATCTCCTCCACAAGGCTGAAGAGGTTGAAGGAATTTTGCCCCTGGCTCCTCCCCCTCCCCGCCCCACCCCAAATTGGGCCGGCCACCCGTAAAAACTCACAAAAGGAAAAGCAGAGGAAAATTTAAGAGCTGCTGATTTCTGACCCAGCAATTTGGCATCCACATCTGGCTCAGGTTCACCACGGACTGGTCCCTTTGCGGCATTCAGGGCCTCCTCGTTCTCTGCTACCGGGAAGTCCACCGGCTCTTCTTTGAATGGACTCTGAAACAGGAAACAGAACGTCTATGGAGGTCCTCAGTCATCCTAGGTCGTGGTTGTCCCAAAGGTGCTTTTTTTTTTCAAGAGGCAACTAGACCAGTGGTCCCAACCTTTTTTGTACCAGGGCCCGGTACCGGCATCACAAAATGATCCACGGACCGGTACCGGCATCAGCACGCACGATCAACGCAAGGCGAGCTGAGCGACCGGCCAGCCAGCCGTCCCCCGCTTCTCCCCGCCACCTTCAATTCCTCCTTTGTACCTTCTCGCGGTCGATGGGCTTTTCGGGCTCTTTCTTAATCTCCTCCTGAGTAACGCGAGACTCCACCGCCATCAGGATGGCTATTCATTCGAAGCCGCCCCCCTTCGACAAAACTAAGGCGCGAGGATTCCTTCAGCACTCAAACGCCGCTTTCCATCCAACCGACGATCGACAAGCTCACCCGGAAGCACTTTCTCAAGCGCCGTCGAAACAAGATGGCGGCGCCCAAGCAAAGTAGGCGGCCTGGTACAAAATGATCCACGGACCGGTACCGGTCCGGGGCCCGGTGGTTGGGGACCCCTGAACTAGACTTTCTGGTGTTTTGTTTCCTTTGAAGACATTTTACTTCTCATCCAAGCTTCTTCAACTCTCAATTGGTTGGTGGGGAATGGAAGGATTTATACTCCTTGCAGGCAGCTGGTCATTTGCATTGAGGCCACTTGGTGGCGTAGGAAAGGATTTACAGAGAAAAATTGCAGACTACAGGAACCATTTGCGCTTCAAGTTGGAGATGCAAACAACACAAACTCCTGCCCAACAGCCTGCACCTGCCTTCAACAGTGAAGACACCACAGGGCGGAAAATAACCTGCACAAATCTCAGCTTCATAACCGTCCTTTCAGCAGTTCCATGGAGGCTCCACTCCCATTTGCACCACTCAGGTGACCCTGAGGACACAGACAAACCCCCAAGTGGCCTCAACGATTCTCTCAAAAGAATGCAAATGACCTGCTGTTTGCGAGGAGTATAAATCCTTCCATTCCCCACCATCCAGTCAGAGTTGAAGAAGCTTCTTGGGTGAGAAGAGAAACTTCTTCAAAGAAAAAACTAGAAAATCCACTTCCCTCCTGAAAAACACCTTTGTAGCAGGAAACAGTGGTACAATGGGAGAGAGAAGTTCAGAGGGTAACATGGTTTCTGATTTTTCAGCAAAAAAGGAGATCACAGCAGCTTTTTTTAAAAAAAAAATAATCAGGCTCTTTGAAAGTCAATTAGCTGTCTAATTATAAGGATGAGATTGCCAAGTCCCTTCTACCAGTGCCAGGATATATTTGAGACAAAGTGCAGCAATATTACTGCATTAACACCCCTTTTATTTATTTGATACAGTTTATTTTATTTATTTATGATACAGGTCCACAGAGGAATTATTGAGTCTGTCATCAGCACCTCTATAACGGTCTGGTTTGGTTCTGCAACCCAATAGGACAGGCACAGACTTCAGAGAGTAATTAGGACTGCAGAAAAAAACAATTACTTCCAACCTGCCTTCCATCAAGGACCTGTATACTGCACGAGTCAAAAAGAGGACTGTGAAAATATTTATAGACCCCTCACATCCTGGACGTAAACTGTTTCAACTCCTTCCCTTAAAATGACGTTATAGAGCACTGCGTATCAGAACAACTAGACACAAGGACAATTTTTTTTCCCAAACACCATCACTCTGCTAAATAAATAATTCCCTCAACACTGTCCAACTATTTAGAAAGTCTCCACTACTGTTGCTATTAACTTTCTCATCACTCCTTATCACCCATCCCCTCCCACTTGTGACTGTATGACTAACTTTGTCGCTTGTATCCTTATGATTTATACAGCCTGTATCCTAGTATGATTTAATTGCCTATTGTACCCTATGACTATTATAAAGTGCTGCACCTGATGACTCTTGACGAATGTATCTTTTCTTTTTATGCATACAGAGAGCATATGCACCAAAGACAAATTCCTTGGGTGTCCAATCACACTTGGCCAACAAAGAATTCTATTCTATTTAAAAGTCTTCTATAGTAGCCCACCTCACGCACCGTAATCCTGGGTGGCTTACAAAACATCCTCCGCTGAATTTTTGCCAATTCAATATGTGATGGCTAGCTGCTGGGCTGCCCTGCTCACTCACACACTGTACACCAGGGGTGGGCAAACTTTTTGGCTCAGGGGCCACATTGACTTTTAAAATTTGACAGATGGGCCGGGTCAGCACAAGATTTTTTGGGAATTGCCCTCCCCCCCTTCTTCTCCTCCTTCCCCTCCCCTCGGAGGCCCCCTGAATCAGGAGTTGCTATCGCCGGTGCAGCTCCGCGCGGCTCCAGTCCCGCGTTGTCTCAGGAAGGGAAAGGCAAAAAGGAAGAGCCGCGGTGGCGCTTTGCACCGGCAGCAGCGGCACCGGAGGCTCAGGCTCCGCGGCTCCTGGTTTTGCCTTTCCTTTCCCAAGGCAACGCGGGACTGGAGCCACGCGGAGCTGTGCCTGCGGTAGCAACTCCTGACAGCCCCAGACGGACACCTGAGCGGAGCCCGGGCGGAGGGAAAGCAGTGGGTGTTCCCTGCGCGGCGACCTCGGCCCCGCCACCAGGGAAGCGGCTGCCCAGCTCAGTGTTGTGCGTGCAATTTTATGGCGTGCGGCGCGGGGTCTCTTTTGGCCGGCCCCAATTTTTTTTTCAGAGGGGATTTTTTTTTTCAGAGGCGGGCTGTATTAAAATGACCAACGGGACAGATGTGGCCCGCGGGCCGTAGTTTCCCCACCCCTGCTGTACACTGTGGTGTAGGGAGTATAGTAATACTCCTCAGCAATTCCCTTCACCAACCCCCCCCCCCCCGAATTGTCCTAATTAAGTCCAGTCTCGAGCCGACCAATGTTAACCCCCAGAGCAATGGCATAAGAGTCTGCAAAACACTTGAAAGTCCCTCAAACAGAATAAATCCACCAAGCCAACTGAAACCCACGATCAGTCAAGCGAAGGGCAGAGTTTCCAAGACAACTTCAAAGTCAGGGCAGGGCGTCAGTCCAAAGCAGAGCAGGAATCACCATGACCGGAAAACGCACAGCTACCGTGTTTCTCATATAATAAGGCCGGGTCTTTTTTATTCTTTTTGAGCCCCGAAAAAATGGCTAGGTCGTCTTTTCGGGGGTGATTTAATTCCCCCCCACTTGCATCTTCAGGCAGGTGGGCAGCGACGGCTTGGAGGTTGACCTCGCCGTTGGTGGGGCACGTCGTATCGGGGTCAACGCAGGCAGCACCATATCCGGGTGTGCAACAAAAGTACTTCCTAACCGCAAGCCCCCCCCCACCATTCCCCCCCATTTCGCACGTTTTAATGTAGGCCTTAATTTGGGGGGAGGGGCTTAATTTCATTTCATGCCTATAAAACATGCTGGGACTTCCTATTGGGGGAGGCCGTATTGTTGGAGAAACAGGGTAGGAAACAAACAAGTTGTTCCCAGCAGCACTTCCCCCTGTCTGCAGTGCTAAATAGCCAGCTCCTGGTGCAGCCATATCAAGAAGAGTAGTCTAACTCAGTGGCCCTCAACCTTTTTTGTGCCACGGCCCAGTACCGGCATCACAAAATGATCCGCGCCCCGGTAACGGCATCAGCACGCATGACAAGGCAAGGCGAGCCGAGCAACCGGCCAGCCAGCTGTCCCCCGCTTCTCCCCGCCACCTTCAACTCCTCCTCTGTACCTTTGTCGATGGGCTTCGCTTCGGGACGGTCGCTCGGCTCGCCTTGCCTTGGGTGCTGAAAGAATCCTCGCACCTTAGTTTCGTTCGAAGCCGCCGCTCCCCCTTCGATGAAACTAAGGCACGAGGATTCCTTCAGGACCCAAACGCCACTTTCCAACTGGAAAAGCTCACCCGGAAGCACTTTCTCGTCAAACAAGATGGCGGCGCCCAGCAAACCGGCGGCCCGGTAGGAAATGTTCCACGGACCGGGACCGGTCTGCCGCCTGGTGGTTGGGGACCCCTGGTCTAGCTGACTTTCTCGGCTCCTGCCTTTTTTCTGCCCTACGTGTTCGCGGATCAGATGTAGAAGGTAGTTGTTCCTCCTCTTCTCTGACCATCGTAAGATCATTAAACTAAGCAAGTTTAACCAGGAGGCTAATTACATTAAATTAATTTAAGGAGCAAAGCAACAGGGGATTAAGGAGACACTGTCCTCACAGTGAAGACAATTAACCAGTGGAACAGCTTTGCCTACAGAAGCTGTGGCTGCTTCATCACTGGCGGTTTTGAAGATGAGGCTGGACAGTCCCTTGTCTCAAATGGTATAGGACAGGGGCGTCAAACTCAATATCCTTGAGGGCCCCACATCAGAGTTGTGCTTGACCTTGGGGGGAGCTGGGCGTGGGCATGGCCAGGCTGGGCGTGGCCAACTTGATGTCACTCATGTCGGGGGGCACCTGTGGTGGCCTGAGCGCTCTGCCAGCAAAAACGGGCTCCCGAGCTCCGTTTTCGGCTGCGATGGTGTATTGCAACCCTCTGCCAGCGAAAACGGACCTCGGGAGGGCCGTACACAGCCCTCCCGAGCTCCGTTTTTGCTGGCAGAGGCACTGCGGGTCAGTCCTTTGCTGTTTCCAGAGTGATCCCACGGACCAGGTCTAAGCACCCGCCCCTTGGGCCTTGAATTTGACACCCTGGTATACGATCTCCTGCTTGGACTGAAGACCCCCAAGGTCCCTTCCAGCTCTATTCCGATTGATTGATTGATTGATTGATTGATTGATGTCTGCAACTGCATGCTTTCCCTAGCTGGAGCCTCAGCCAAGCCCCTTCCGGAGGAGCCATCAATTAACTCAGCTCCTGAAGAACAGGTTCATCCTCCAGCTCAGCTGAAATCTTAAGGTGGGTATCTGGGAAATCGTCCAGGGGAAGACACCACAGCTCCTCTGGCTCACTAATTTACAGCTAGTCCTTGATTCATTTAATGGCTGCTCCAAACTACAGTGGTGTTACAAGTGGTTAGAAGAAATTTGTGGAATGAAAATAGAACACAGGCCAGAGTTCTTTCTGCTGGGGATTAATGCAAGGAAATATGATAAAGAAAACATATATTTAATAATTCATATAATCACTGCAGCAAGATTGGCGTACACACAGAATTGGAAAAGTAAAGATACCCCAAATGAATTTGAAATATTGAAGAAAATTATGATGTGCACAAAGATGGATAAACTAACAAAGGCACTAAAAAATAGAGAGGATTTGGATTATTATAAAATATGGGACAAATTTTATGGTTGGCTAGAGATGAGGAAGATTCAGGAGAATAAAGAATGTATATTTAATGTATATGGAATGAAATTATGTATTATTATTATTATTGGATTTAGCAATGACAAAGATTGACGTTAGGAATGACTGTGCCAGGTTCAACATTTTTAAAGTATTTTGTGTTTGTGTCTGTTTAATAAAGAAAAACATTTTAAAAATTAAAAAAAACCTACAACAGTGTTAGAAACAGTGACCTCCAATTGGTTCTTACACCTACAACAGCTGCAATTCTATTGGTCATGTGATCAAAATCTGGGCCCTTGGCAACCACCCTGTTATTTGTGATGGTCCCAGGGTCATGTGATTGCCATTTGCAACTTTCCTAGGCGGGATTCTGGCTAGGAAAGTCAATGAGGGAAGTCGGATTCACTTATTGATCATAAGTCACTTAACGGCCGTGGCAAAGATGGCCATAAAATTGTGCTCAAGTCACATCATTGACTGCACTGATTAACAACGGCTGCTCTGGTCCCGATTTTGGATGTAAATTGAGAACTACCTGTGTTGTAAGAATTCAGCCTCCACAGTTCAAAAGTTTGGGCCTTAGGATGATACGTAACTAATGACTTTGCAACTTTTCTTGCCACGCTTGTTAAACGAATCACTGCAGTTGTTAAATGAGTCACACACAGTGAAGTGAATCTGGCTTCCCCATTGACTTTGCTTGTCAAAAGGTCGCACAAAGTGATCCCATGACCTCAGGACACTGCAACCGTCACGTGAGTCACTTGTCAAGCATCTGAATGCAAATGACGTGACCATGGGGGTGTGTCATGCCCCCATCGGAGTCTGAATCTGAGAGGAAGAGCTGACAGGGAGTGCGAGTGTGGTTCCGTTGGCTGTGAAGGAGGCTGGGGAAGGGCAAAGTCCGGCTGGGCAGAGCAGGGAAAAAGTAGAACAAGGGAGAGGGGGTTCAGAGGAAGACCCAGGCCCAGCTTCATCCTAGGGCACGCAGGGAGGAACAGAGAAGGGAACAACGTGGGTTGTGTGGCTTATGGGGGAGGAAAGAGCCCTGATTCCCTTCATTAGCTGCAGCTGGGAACACAGTGTTTAAAAAAAGGCAAGCTGCCTATGGCAGGCTGCTGGGAGCAAATGTGACTTTATCCTGTGTTGTAGTGGTTTATCTGTGTTCCTGGCATCTTCCCAACTGTGTGAGTTTTGCCGTGCTTTCAAGTCTGAAATTCTTGCTCCTGTCCTACCAAACTAATTACTTCAGTTTGGCTTGTTTGGAATTTAAGTTACAGTTTGTGTTTCCCCTGTTTTGGACTTCATATTCTACAGTCAAAGGCTGTTCTTGGGGGAGTTTTTTTCTCCTGCCAGAAGCTAACTTGGACATTGTGGGCAAAGTTGGAGATAATAAAGGGACTCTTCTTAATTATCTGACTGTGTTGCCTTTGGCCATGCCCCGGGTCATCACAGGATGCTGCAAGAGCCATAAGTATGAAAAATGACTCATCAAGAAGTCAGAAGTAACTTTTTTCAGTGCTACTCTTTCCTCATAAATTAGTGAACTTGAACCATTCTTGAAAGAGTTTTACATATAATATTATTCAAAATATTATGGAATTGAGAAGGCTGTAACTAATTATCGACATACCGATGAGAGTACAAAGAGAGAGATTGCAGCCATGTTCTTATTTAGAATAATCTTCTAAAAAATAACATCTCAAATTATTCAATGCTCTCAGGTTTCAATTAATAACTGAAGGTGATTCAGCACTGCATGACCAGCACTGCGTGACCTGTTAGAAACTTGAGGATCTGGATAGTAAAACCCACCTGAGATATCCTGGTCTTGGCCTCCTGTTGACTCATCAGGAAGTCCTCCACCAGGGCCACCGCCTGGGAACATGACTCCGGCCTCCTGGCTTGGATCCAACTCCGCAGCTCCGGTGGGAGACTGGCCAGGAACTGCTCCAGGATCAGCAGCTCCAGGATCTGCTCCTTGGTGCGTCTCTCCGGCTTCAGCCACTGGCGGCAAAGCTCCCGGAGTTGGCTGTGGATCCTCCGGGGATCCTCTACCACTTGGCAGCAGAACTGCCGAAAATGCTGCCGCTGCCTCTCCGTTCTCAGGGCTTCCGCCCGTAAGATGGCGGCCTTCACCTTCTCATAGCTCTCCTGCTCTCTGGCTTCCAGGCCTCGGAAGGCCTCTTCCGCTTCTCCGCTCAGGGCTGGCAGGAGATGGGCCGCCCACTGGTCCCGAGGCCATCGGCAAGCTTTGGCCACTTGCTCAAAGGAGGCCAGAAACTCCTTGGTGTCCTCCCAGGGAGAAGCCTCCGACGTCCCAGAGCTTCCCCGTCCTGCTAAAATGGGCTGCACAGATTTCAGGAACTGCTGGAGCTGCGCTTCCCAGCGCCCCTGCATCCTGTGACGGGTCTCCCTTCGGCAAGGTTGGGACGCTCCCCATCCCAGGCGCTCCGTCTTATGTTGGTGATAAACTCCACTGGTGTTTTTTTCCGTTCCTCCTGGTTCCCGATCCGTCTCAGCAACTCTTGGCTCGTCCATTGCTTTCACAGCAATGGTTTGTTTTTCAATACATCATATTTCAATTAGATATCTGAGGGAATTTATAAGTACAATTATAAAATGCAGTTGATCTTTTTGATCTCAGTACCAATTAGTAAGCTATTAGATTGTGAATTTTTTTTTTGAAAAAAATAGTTCATGTTCAAATAAAGTCTTTTGATTTTTTTTTCATTTATCCAATCAGGAAGTAATTACTTTTTAATCACATGATGCATATCAAAAGAAGGAGAAGATTTAAAAGAATCGCCTTTAATGTTGGAAGATTCTGGGCGACAGCTTCCTACAAATGAAAAAGGAAGCTAAAAGGAAGCTGCTTTTCTGCTCCAAAATATAAAAGAAAATATGATACAACGTAACCCAGAGGAACTAAGTCATCACTGTATCCTTTCAACAGCCAGTCCTACCACATATATCCATTTTATTCCCACTATCCTTTCATCTTTTGCACCTCATCTCTTTAATAATGGAAGAGCACCATGCAGGCAGGACCCAGACAGGGTAACTTGACAAGTTACTCTCGACTTATAGCAGTTCATTTAGTGACTGTTCCAAGTTACATCACTGAAAAAAGCAACTTGTGGCCATTTTTCACACGTACAACTGTTGTAGCACTCCCACGGTTACGCAACCAAAATGCGGGTGTTTGTCTACCATCCCTACTTATGCCCGTTGCAGCGTCCCAGGATCATGTAATCATCTTTTGAGACCTTCTGACGAGCAAAGTTAAATGGGGAAGCCAGGTTCCCTTCACAAACACGTTACTAACTTAACAACTGCAACGATTCACTTAACGACCGTGGCAAGAAAGGTCGCAGAATGGGACAAAGCTTGCTTTAACAAACGTCTCGCTCAGCAGCAGCAATTTGGGCCTCCATTTTGGTCGTTCAGTTGTCAACCTGGTTTGTTAGGTGACTCTGGCTTCTCCATTGATTTTGCTTGTCAGGAGGTCACTAAAGGGATGCAGCAAAGGTCATAACTAAGAGCCAGAGGGCAAGCACCTCAGTTTTCAATCCCTTGATCAAGGTCATACATGTGGAAAAACGGTCACAAGTCACTTTTTTCAGTGCCTTTGTAACACTGAATGGTCATTAAACGGATTGTCGTGCGTCGAGGACTACCTGTATTCTATGGGAGAAGGGAAGAAGGCCCAGGAGGCATCCCTTGTTCTCCCAATCCTTTCCCTGAGAGGCTGCTCCGCACGCCCACCCCCCCCGCCACAACGGTCGCAAGCGTGAAAAATGGTCACCAGTCACTTTTTTTCCCCCAGTCATGTCACTTTCAACCGTCACTAAACGAGCCGGAGTGAAGGGTGGGGAAACGCCTGGGGCTCCATCCCACCTCAAGCTGAACCAGGCGGGCCCAGCGCGGCCCTCAAGCCGACTTCAATCTCTCAAGGAAAGGCCCGGCCCCCTCGCCCCCTTTTCGCACGGCGTCCTTCTCTCCACCCCCCCGCCTGAGGAAGCACCCATGCAAAGGACCCAAGGCGGCCACCCGTACCGGAAGTAACTAGAAGCCCGGCGGAAGTCCAGGCCGCTGCCTTTCCCTCTTGTCGGTTGCTCAGCAACGCCCGCAGGAGATTGGGGAGGGGGGGGAGCGGGAATCCTGACTCCTCCAGGCGATTCCTTCCAGGCTAGAAAGTAGCCGCTCCGGAAAAAAAAAAAAACAGGAAGTGAGAGACATTTCCGGAAAACCCACCCCTGCTTTTTCATTGGTCCTTTTCCTTCCGTTTTCTGTCCTCGGGCTAGCTCTGCGCGCCACCGCCCCTAGCGGTCGTCTTGCTGCATGGCCACTCTTCTCCTTTGATAGTCTTGTAGGGCAGGGGTCGCCAACCTTGGCAACTTTAAGACTTGTGGACTTCAACTCCCAGAATTCCTCCTCCAGCCATATCAGCTCAGGAATTCTGGGAGTTGAAGTCCACAAAGTCTTAAAGCTACCAAGGTTGGAGACCCCTGTTGTAGGGGAAGCTGATGCTGGAAGTTTAGGGAGGATAGAAAACTTCTCCGCTTGGTTGCCGCAGCCTGTGATATAGAGCTGTAGGTAGTCCTTGATTTACAACAGTTTGCTTAGTGACTGTTCGAAGTGGCAACGGGGGGTGCTTCTTATGACCCTTTTTCACACTTACAACCCTGTTAACATCCCCACGGTCACGATTCCTTGACAACTGACTCACATTTATGACGGTTGCACTGTCCCGGGGTCATCATGGAATCGCTTTTTTGCTACAGCAATTAATTTGCGCTTCAAGTGTGAGAGGCAGACGACACAGGCTCATCCTCCGTGAGAGGCATTTCAAGTATCCTTAAGGAGTCAGGGAGGTTCACATAGTGACATGCAAATCTGGAATTGGGGTGTTGAAAGGCTGGAAAATGCCTTTCTTCTGAGGATTCTGTTTTCCTGCTGGGAGGGCTCCGGTGCAAGGACACAGACAACTGCTTGGAAGTGGGTTCCTTTTATTTTTCAGGAAGGCAAGAGATAGCAAGAAGTCTGCGTTCCTGGGGCTAGCCATCTTTGTATAATAAACCCCTGATTTTTATACCTTTTTCTCCTTTTGTGTGTGTGTGCTGGTGTTTGTATTTCTTAATGTTTTAAATCCTGTTAGGGGTTGTCTTCATTTCCGTCAGAGGGTAAACTCTGCGGGGTGGTTTGATTGGATTATCAGTTTCATCCTAATGTTTTCTTATATTTGTTTGGTGGAAATCTCCTGTCTGCTATGGAATTTATTTCGTGTCTTTTGTCTATTTGTTTTGCTGATTTGTTTGTAAGGGATTTCTTTTTCTTGTTTCCCTAGCTTTCTTAATTACTTGGCTTTTGTCTAGGGGGCTTCTTTCAATGCCTTTTATTAAATCTCTTTTCCTATGCAAGTTTGTTTTATAGCTGGCCTAATGTTCCCTTTGGGCTTTTCCTGCTTGGGTGTCACCACTGTCCTCATGAAGTTCCCTTTCCACAGGGGAAAGACTGGATTTGAACCAAGATCTTGCTATGTACTACTCTGGTGGTCAAACCACCCGGGACGGATCTGTACGTTGCTACAGCCTTATGAAGTTAAAGTTGGGTAACCCAAAGCTATTTTTTTCCCCCAAGAAGTAACCAGACTTCCTTGTTTTTCCTTTGAAGACCATTCGCTTCTCATCCAAGAAGCTTCTTCAGCTCTGACTGGAGGGTGGGGAATGGAAGGATGGATGATGGATCCAGTCCCCACCATCCCAGTCAGAGCTGAAGAAGATTCTTGGATGAGAAGCGAAAGGTCTTCAAAGGAAAAAAACCCAGAAAGTCCAGTTGCCTCTTGAAAAAAAAAAAAAAGCACCTTTGGGACAACCATGACCTGGAGGACTGAGCATCTCCATAGACATCCAAGGGCGATTCCCCACTCCCCGGCTTCCAAATCCCTCGGGATTTCTGAGTGGCCTCCCATCCTTCGTCCCTTCCCAGTGCGCCTTTCTCCAAACGAAAGCGGCGGCTGGAAGGGGGAGGAATTGCGACCGTTGCAGCTTCACCCTCGGGCCCAGCAGGGACAAAAGAAGGTGGCGGTGGCCCCAGGAACACCCCAACATGGGTGGAGACGACGGTCGCAGCAGCAGAGTAGGAGCAACGCCCGCCGCGTGCGCCATCTTTCCTTCCCTCGTTTCCCTCAGTGGCCTTGAGGGCCTGGGGTCCTCGCGCCGCTTCGGGTATGGCAGAGGGGTGAGTGGGTCGCGCGGCAAGAGGATCACCTGACCTCTGGCGGGGACGCACGGGGTGGCAGGGCGGAGCAGGGTGGAGGCGGTGGAAGGAGGGAGAGGCACTTCGGATCTCTTCGGGTCCTGCCGGAATTGGGGGGCACTCGGGGTTGGGAAAAGCGGCTGAGGAGTCCCCTGATGGGGTCCACTTCTTTCTGCACCCCGGGCGGGCCTGTCAACAAGAGGCTCCCGGCTTGCTTTATCTCCAGGCAGAGAGAGGCAGGGGCGGACGGTAGATTAGAATAGAGCTGGAAGGGACCTTGGAGGTTGTCTAGTCCAGCCCCCTGCAGCAGACCCTATCATTACTGTATACTATACCATACCATACCATACTAAACTATACTGTCTATACCCCAAACTTGGCAACTATCATGTATATCATGTATCATGTATCTGATATTAACACAATTTAAAAAGTCCAGAAATATTTCACAAGAAGAGTTCTCCGCTCCTCTACTCATTGCAGAATACCTTATGCCACCAGACTTGAAACTCTAGACCTAGAAAATCTTGAAATACGCTGTCTTCGGTCTGATCTAAGTATGGTATATAAAATCATACATTGCAGTGACTTACCTGCAAATGAATACTTCAGCTTCAGCCATAACAACACAAGAGCAAACAATAGATACAAACTCAAGGTAAACCGCACCAAACTTGATTGCAGAAAATACGACTTCAGCAACAGAGTGGTCAATGTCTGGAATACTCTACCTGACTCCGTGGTTTCTTCCCCAAACCCCCAAAACTTTAACCTTAGACTGTCTACTATTGACCTCACTCCCTTCCTAAGAGGCCATCCCTGTCCTATTGTTTCTTTTTATTTTTCTTATAAGTATCCATCTCATGTATTCAAAACTATGTTTATTCTTCTACCTGTATCTTGTAAGCAATTGACAAATCAAATAAATAAATAAAATAAATAAATAAACTTTAAGACTTGTGGACTTCAACTCCTAGTCTAGTCTATACTGTACTATATATACTATACTATGCTATGCTATACTATACTACACTACCTGACACCATACCATACCATACCATACCATACCATACCATACCATACCAAACCAAACCAAACCAAACCAAACCAAACCAAACCAAACTATATTGTTTATACCAGGGGTCTCTAAACTTGGCAACTTTAAGACTTGTGGACTTCAACTTCTAGTCTAGTCTAGTCTATACTGTACTATATATGCTATGCTATGCTATACTGTGCTGTGCTGTGCTATGCTGTGCTGTGCTGTGCTGTGCTGTGCTGTGATGTGCTGTGCTGTGTTGTGCTGTGCTGTGCTGTGCTATACAATGCTATGCTATGCTATGTTATACTATACCATACCAAACCAAACCAAACTATACTGTCTATACCAGGGGTCCCCAAACTTTGCAACTTTAAGACTTGTGGACTTCAACTTCTAGTCTAGTCTAATCTCTTCTTAAAAACTTCCAGTGTTAGAACATCCACAACTCTGGAAGCAAGTCATTCCAATGATTAGTTGTTCTAACTGTCAGGAAATGTCTCCTTAGTTCTAGGTTGCTTCTCTCCTTGATTAGTTTCCACCCATGGCTTCTTGTCCTGCCCTCAGGGGGCTTTGGAGAATAGCTTGACTCCCTCTTCTTTGGGGCAGCCCCTGAGATATTGCAATACTGCTATCCTGTTACTCAATTCACTAAGAAGAGGGGGGTCAAGTTCAACTTATTTTCCAAAGCACCAGAAGGCAAGACAAAAAACAATGGATGGAAGCTAATCAAGGAGAGATGCAATCTAGAATTAAGAAGAAACAGTGAGAACAATTAATCCAGGGGTCTTCAAACTTGACAGCTTTAAGACTTGTAGACTTCACTCCCAGAATTCTTCCTCCAGTCATCTTAGCTTGGGAGTTCTGGGAGTTGAAGTCCACAAATCTTAAACTTGCCAAGTTTGAAGACCCTTGAATTAATCAGTGGAATGGTTTCCTTTAAGAAGTTATGGTTGCTCCATCACTGGAGGTTTTTAAGAAAAGACCGGACAGCCATCTGTCTGAAATGGTAGGGTTTCCAACTATTCTACTCTATTGTTCCATTCCATTCTATTCTTCTAAACACACCAAGAAGCCACAAAAAAGAGGGAGTCGATTTATTTTCCAAAAGCACCAGAAAGAAAACATGTTAGGTTTTAGTGCAGTTCAGAATCTGAATTAATCCAATGAAAGTCGGAACACGAGGCAATGGATAATCAGCTTTATCATTGATCAAGATTAAAACTGGGTGTTTTTTTAATCTGCCTTAAACAGAGCAGGCAGAGAGAGAGAAAAAGAAAGGCCATGCACCAACTAAAACTTTTTTTTTCTTTTTATAGTCTACACATAGTCCATGCACAACCCATCATTGTGTTAGAAACATAATTTCTTATCCATTAGTGAAGAGGAACTAAAGAACCTCTTGATGCGGGTGAAGAAGGAGAGTGCAAAAGGTGGCTTGAAATTCAACATTAAGAAAACTAAGATCGTGGCATCTGGCCCTCTCAATTCCTGGCAAATAGATGGGGGAAAAAATTGAAGTAGTGACAGATTTTATTTTCCTGGGTTCCAAGATCATCGCAGATGGGGACTGCAGCCAAGAAATTAAAAGACGCTTGCTCCTGGGGAGGAAAGCTATGGCAAATCTAGACAGCATACTAAAAAGCAGAGACATCACCCTGCCAGCAAAAGTGCGTATAGTCAAGGCTATGGTTTTCCCAGTTGCAATGTATGGCTGTGAAAGTTGGACCATGAGAAAGGCTGAGCGCTGAAGAATGGAGGCCTTTGAACTACGATGCTGGAGAAGACTCCTGCGAGTCCCTTGAGCTGCATGGCGATCAAACCAGTCAGTCTTAGAAGAGTCAACCCTGACTGCTCTTTCGAAGGCCAGATCCTGAAGATGAAACTCAAAGACTTTGGCCACTTAATGAGAAGGAAGGACTCACTGGAGAAGAGCTTCATGCTGGGAACGATTGAGGGCAAAAGAAGGGGACAGCACAGAATGAGGTAACTGTCACTGAAGCAGTTGGCGTGAGCTTAAATGGACTCCAGAAGATGGTAGAGGACAGGAAGGCCTGGAGGAGTGTTGTCCATGGGGTCACGATGGATCTGATACGACTTTGAAGCTAACAACAACAAAAGTTCATGCAAACTTCATAATTTTCCCAGAGCTTGGGAACAATGGGGCTCAGGAGGAAAGAAAAATAATACACATTTTCCAGAACTTGCTAGGTTGTTATCTTCACATTAGATACTTGCAGCAGAGACAGAATTCACATTTTAACATGACAGCAAGGCTGTTTAGTTAAGCTTGGCAATTAGCATGGAGGCCTTCCTTATCTATGCAGATAAGAGCATTGGGTTAAGATGGAGCTCAGTTCAGCAGGAATAACAAAAGCTGAGTTATACACTCTGTGTATGCTCTAATCATTTCATGCCTCCCTTTTTAAGGCAATAGGGTGCTTCCTATTGCTGGAACAATGATGACTTGCTTGGGTCCAAGTAAGTACTTTGGCAGGCTTGTCCTGTCTTCCCGAAGCTACAACTGTTATTCCAGAAATTGTGCCAGTAACAATCGATCTTGTTACTGGAAGGTAATATGTTGTTGTTGTTAGTTGTCGGACCCACCGCGATCCCATGGACAATGTTCCTCCAGGCCTTCCTGTCCTCTACCATCTTCTGGAGTCCATTTAAGTTCCGGTCGACTGCTTTAGTGACTCCTTCCAGCCACCTCATTCTCTACCGTCCCCTTCTTCTTTTTGACCTCAATCTTTCCCAGCATGAGGCTCTTCTCCAGTGAGTCCTTCCTTCTCATTAAGTGGCCAAAGTCCTGTATTTGAGTGTTTCATCTTCAGGATCTGGTTTTCAAAAGAGCAGTCAGGGTTGATCTCCTCTAGGACTGACCAGTTTGATCGCCTTGCAGTCCAAGGGACTCGCAGGAGTCTTCTCCAGCACCATAGTTCAAAGGCCTCTATTCTTTGGCGCTCAGCCTTCCTTATGCTCCAGTTTCCCAAGCCAACTGGGAAAACCATAGCCTTGACTAGATGCACTTTTGTTGGCAGGGTGATGTCTCTACAAGCATCAAAACCAACAATCGCTAGACACTGTTGAAAGGATCTCAAATGCCTTTCTTCCAAGGGTTCTTTTTTCCTGCTGGGAGTGCTTTCAGAGTAAGGACACAGACAGAGACAGCTATTTGAAAGCAAGTTTGCTTTAATTTTCAGGAAGGCAAGAGATAGCAAGAAGTCTGCGTTCCTGGGGCTAGCCAGCATTGTGTAATAAACTCCTGATTTTTATACCTTTCCTCTTGTGTGTGAGTGCTTAAGTCCTGTCAGGGGGGGTTGTCTCCATTTCCGTCAGAGGGTAAACTCTGCGGGGTGGTTTGATTGGATTATTAGTTTCATTTCCCATATTTGTTTAGTGGCAATCTCCTGTCTGCTATCGGTCTTTTGTCTTATTTGTTTTGCTGATTTGGCATGGCCTTTCTTCTGTAAGGGATTTCTTTTTGTTTCCCTAGTTTTCTTAATTACTTGGCTTTTTGTCTAGGGGCTTCTTTCAATACCTTTTATTAAATCTCTTTTCCTATGCAAGTTTGTTTTATGGCTGGCCTGGGTTTGCCTTTGGGCTTTTTTCTGCTTGGGTGTCACCACTGTCCTCATGAAGTTCCCTTTCCACAACACCAAAACAGTTTTTTCCCCCGATCACCATCACTCTGCTAAACAAATAATTCCTTCAACACTAGCAAACTATTTACTAAGTCGGCATTACTATTACTATTAATCTTCTCATCACTCCTTATCACCCATCCCCTCCCACTTGTGACTGTAGGACTGTAACCTTGTTGCTATCCTTACAATTTTTATTGATGATTGATGATTTGTTTGCTTATTGTACCCTATGACTTTTTTTAAAGAGTTGTATCTTATCATTTTTGACTCTTGACGAATGTATCTTTTCTTTTTATGTACACTGAGAGCATTTGCACCAAGACAAGTTCCTTGTCTGTCCAATCACACTTGCCCAATAAAAAGAATTCTAGTTGTAATTCTGTTCGGTTTCTGCTCATTTTTTTCAAGCTACGATAGAGAGGTACGAAAGAGTTAAAACCACAGAGTTTTAGTTTCCTAGACCTGCCCGCAACGCTATTTTTTTTTTTTGTGCTCCTCCTGGTCTTCGTAAGAAAATTGGCTTTTCTTTCGGTCGGTGAGTTCCAGGGAGCCGGGGGAGTGGGAAGCGTCGCTCGGGACGTCCTGCAAAAAGCGAAGGCTGGGTCCGCTTGCTGCTGTCTCCTGTCTAAAGGGCAGGGGAGCGAGAGAGAGATCCTTTCCCCTGGCCCCGTTTGCGGGTCAGGTAGACCTCTTCTATCCAAGGAGGCTTTCTTCGTCGCCATAGGGTCAAACGGGCAGGAAAAGATTTTTACCCTCTGCGAAGCGATGCGTATTGTGAAGGTAATCTATTCCAGGCTAATGGAATGAAGAAGGGCTGCGGGATTTGGGTTTGGATAGTCTAGACGCAGGGGTGTCCAACCTTGGCAACTTTAAGACTTGTGGACTTCAACTCCCAGAATTCCAAGACTTGTGGACTTCAACTCCCAGAATTCCAAGACTTGAGAACTTCAACTCCCAGAATTCCTCCTCCTGTCATGTTAGCTCGGGAATTCTGGGAGTTGAAGTCCACAAGTCTTAAAGTTGCCAAGGTTGGACACCCCTGGTCTAGAGCATGGCTCTCCAACCTTGGCGACTTTAAGCCTTGGCGGACTTCAACTCCCAGAATTCCCGAGCTAACATGACGGGACAAGTCTTAAAACTTTGAGTTTGAAGAGCCGTGATTTAAAACTCCAACGGAGGCTGGCGATTTGAACAGATTTTAACACAGTTGGAAGGGACCTTGTTAGGCCATCTAGTCCAACCCCTCTCCCCTGCCCAATTCCGGGAGTTGAAGTCCGCCTAGGCTTAAAAGTTGCCAAGGTTCTCTAACCCCCAGGCTAGAGAAAAGAAAGACTGGGAAAGGACATGATAGCAATATTCCACTATTTAAGGGTCTGCCACTAAGAAGAGGGAGGGGGAATCAATTTATTCTCCAAAGCATCAGAACGCAAGACAAGAAAACAATGGATGGTCGCTAATCAAGGAGAGAAAAGCAACCTGGAATTCAGGAGAAACTTTCTGACAGTGAGAACAATTAACCAACGGAACAACTTTGCCTTCAGAAGTTGTGGGTGCTTCATCGCTGGAGGTTTTGAAGAAGAGACTGGAGAGTCCTTATCTGAAATAGCAGAGGGTCTCCTTGCTTGGGCAGGAGGCTGGACTAGAAAAACCTCCAAGATCCTTTCCACTTCTAATTAATTTTAATTCTAATAATCCCAATTCTAATTTTGCTGTGACCAACACGTTGGTGTTGTTTCGATGCTTGCCATTTTTGCTATCTGATTTATTTTTAACAATACGGTGGGCATTGATTTATTTATTTCAGTGTGCTCCAGCATTTATTTATTTACTAGATAACCCATGACCGTGATTGCCATTTTTGATGTCTGATTTATTTTTAATAATACAGTGGGCATTGATTTATTAATTTCATTGTGCTCCAGCATTTATTTATTTGCTAGACAACTTGTGACCATTATTGTTTTAGGGATATTATTCAGAGATGATGAGGGGACTGGAGGCTAAAACATATGAAGAACGGTTGCAGAGACTGGTTATGTCTAGTCTAATGAAAAGAAGGACTAGGGGAGACAGGATAGCAGTTTTCCAATATCTCAGGGGCTGCCGCAAAGAAGAGGGAGCCAAGCTATTCTCCAAAGCCCCTGAGGGCAGGACAAATTTCCTGACAGAACAATTAATCAGTGGAACAACTTGCCTTCAGGAGTTGTAAATGCTCCAACACTGAACCTTTTTAAAAAGATGGTGAATAACCATTTGTCTGAAGTGGTGTAGTTTCCTGCCTAGGCAGGAGGTTGGACTAGAAGACCTCCAAGGTCCCTTCCAACTCTGTTATTTTATTCTATTCTGATATTTCCTCAGCTGCCTTCAGTGATGACAGAGCTTCTGAGGTACTGCCTTCACTGGAAAACCTCTTTAAAATTCAGGGAGAGATTTCCCTTGAAAGTTGACCATGTTGAAATGGTGTAGAAGTGAAGTCATAAGCTGTCGCAGTCACATGATGGCTCGCTTAACAACTACGTTGCTTAGTGATGATGGAGGTGTCGATCCCAATTATCGTTAAGTAAGAACTACCTGTACCAGGAAAAAGGAGGATGGGAGCCTCTAAGTGTTGTCGAGTGACACTTCCTTCCCCGTTATCTCTGACCATTGGTTATAGTAGTAGGGAATAATGGGACCAAAGAAGATAAGATATAATCCTTCTCTTTTCTCGACAGGATTCCTCCATGACTAGATGTGAAATCTGTTGCGAGATTTTTGGAATGTGCTGCAGTTTGTCCTATGCACTGTACGAATTGCACCATCAATGTAAGAGCAATTGCCTTCTTCAAGCCAGTCCCTTCAGCTCAGTTGGGAGACAAGTGGATTCCTCTTGCTGGGCTGCCAGAACAGTCTGAACCTAGAGCAAAGATTGATCGATCGCTTGTCACTAACGACCCAGTGACTCTTTTTATTCTTTTTATATTGGATTTTTGAAATTGTTTGTCAGCCGCCCTCAGTCACTAAAAGTGAGCAGGCGGCCTTCAAAATTCTCTAAATAAATAAAAGATTTCTGGCAAGGAAGGGAAGTTGCATTCAAACAGAGGCTGTGTGCTGGATGCAAAGATGAAACAATTAGACCCATTGGTGGATCTGAATTTGGATAAAGGCCCCGATGAGACTTTTATTCCTGGACAGCTTCCGGGCTGCCTTGCATCGAAACAGATCAAACGAGATCCTGAAGGAGAACAAGCCAAGGATTGGGAAAGCCAGGGGCAGGAATCTTTAAAGGTAAGGCATCTCTCTCATTCAGTTAGGAGGCAGAGGAATTCTGACCCCTGGGACGATGCCAAGATCTTCCTGATCTCCTTCGAGCAAGTGGCTGAAGCTTGCCGGTGGCCTAAAGCCGAATGGATGGCCCGGCTTTTACCGGCACTGACCGGATCAGCCAGAGAGGCCTTTAATGGCCTAGAAACCGTAGACCAAGAGGATTATGGGAAAGTCAAGGCTGCCATCTTGCGAGGGGCAGCTTTCAAAATGGAGGCCCAGCGCCAGCGCTTTCGCCAGTTCCGCTACCAGGAGGTTGAAGATCCGCGGAGGGTTTACGGTGACCTCCGGGAGCTTTGCTATCAGTGGCTGAAGCCAGAGAAACACACCAAGGAGGAGATTCTGGAGCTGCTGATCCTGGAGCAGTTCCTGGCTATCCTGCCCCCGGAGATCCAAAGCTGGATCCGGGAATGTGACCCAGAGAATTGGATCCAAACTACAGACCTGATGGAGGATTTCCTGAGGAGCCAACAGGAGGCAGAGATGTGGAAACAACAGGTGAGGTTTGGGGGTATTGGAAGTGGATAAGTTCATCGGCCCTTTATCAAACTCTTATAATAATAGCAACAGCCCTCAGACCAGGGGTGGGATTCTACCTGATCGGACCGGTTCTATAGAACTGCACGATTATGTGCAGTTTGGAGAACCAGCAAATCGCGCCACTTGCTGGCCCCGCCCCGCGGGAATTGTTGGATTTTTTGCTTTCTAGCTAGTCTAAAAGAAGAGCTGAACCTTCTTTCGGACTGAAGCTTCTATTTTTCAGTGCTGACTCAGGTAGCAGATTGCAGAAAGATAGATGTCTGAGTGAATCTGTGATTCTGCGAGCAACTCAATCTGCCTGCCTGCTTTGCCTGATTTTGGGTAAAAGTTGCTCTTTTTTTTATAAAAAAAATTCAATATTTATATAAATATTTACAATATTTACATACAAGCCACGACCAGCCAGTCACATAACCACCAAGCCACGCCCAGTCAGTAATGTACACCCAGCCATTCACATGACAACCAAGCTACACCCACAAATTAGGCCACTCCCACAGAACCGGTTGTTAAGACATTTGAATCCCGCCCCTACCATAGACTTATATACCGCTTCAAGGTGCTTTACAGCCCTCTCTAAGCAGTTTACAGAGTTACCGCCTTTCCCCCAACAATCTGGGTCCTCATTTTACTGACCTCGCAAGGATGAAAGGCTGAGTCAAAACCTTGTATGTTGCATTTCTATAATATAATAGAAATGTAACATACAAGGTTTTGACTCAGCCTTTCATCCTAACATACAAAGTTTTGACTCAGCCTTTCATCTCCTTTCAAGAGCTCCGTGAAAGATGACGGAGAGGCTGGGAGAGGTCATGGAAGGAATGTTATTAAAGAACAGCTATTACAAGTAAGCCCTCGACTTACTGTAGCTCATTTAGTGACCGTTTGAAGTTACACTGACCATCTTTCACATGGCCGTTGCAGCATTCCCACGGTCACGTGATCAAAATGGAGACACTTGGTGACTTGATTCATATTTATGACAGTTGCAGTGTCCCGGGGCCACGGGATCACTTTTCGCGACCTTCTGACAAAGTCAGTGAGGAAGCCAGATTCATTTAACAACCTTGTTACTAACTTAACAAGTGTCAGCATTCCAGCAACCTTCCTTTCTGACGAATAACTCCGAGACAGACATTTCTCAAAGCTACCTTTATTTGGATAGTAAACTGGCACATCTGTGGAATCCCGAATCTGAAAGTTTTGGGGCTTCCTTGCAATATTCAAAACTACAGATCCATCCCCCGTCCCTTGGCTGTCATCCCATCACATGGCCCAATCACGATCTGCCCTAAAGTAAGAGCCTTATTTCATTCTGCGCCATACTCAATGACCTTGAACTAGCAAAATATTTTATTTTGTCTACTTAGAGATACTCAATTGAATCCCCCCCCGCTTCCCATTTTCTCAGGCTCGTGGCAGTGTGGAAGCATCGAATCTCAATATGGCTTCCAAAGCTGACACAGTGATTCACAACAACCGTGGCAAGAAAGGTCAAAAAATGGGGCAAAACTCACTTAACACATGTCTTGCTTACCAACGGAAATTTTTGGCTCAATTGGGGTCGTAAGTTGAGGACTACCTGTATATTCTTATTTATGTTAATTATCGAGAGCACCCATCTCACAGAGCGACTCTGTTAGATAAGAATGATAAGGCCTGAGTTCAAATCCTCCTCACCTGGACATGAAAAGTGCCAGGTGACTTTTTCCTGATCTATTTTTTCCCCTCAGTGAAACATACCTCACAGGATTGTTGGGAGATTAAAAATGGCGATTAGAGCATTCTGTGTAAAGGCCTATTGTGAGATTTCCGTGGCAGCGCAAATAAAGCATTTTAAGCCAGTTGCAGAACATGCAAAACCTGGGTGAAATAATTATAGTTTTTGTAAAACGGTTGTCCAAACCAACTGGGGATTTTTCTTGTCTGTTTCAGGTGCCAGTAGCTTCCAAAGATAGGATTGGAGATGCATGCAGTCCTGTAAAGGAACTGCTGTTTGTGGAGAATGAAGAGCATATTCTTGGGGATTGGAGATCAGCACATCCAGGTTGGTGGATTTAGCACCGTTGACTTGATCTCTGATGCAAGGAAAACAATTAGTGTGCCAGATCCTAACCTTTTCAAACTCCTAGGTATGAATGTCTATGGAGATTCTCAGTCATCCAGGTCTTAGTTGTCCCAAAGGTGCTTTTTCAAGAGGCAACTGGACTTTCTGGTTTTTCAAAGAAAAACAAGGAAGTCCAATTGCCTCTTAGAAAAGCAGTTTTGGTCATGCGTGAGATGCAGTTGTTTGGGTATATTATTTAACGTGCTCATTACATGTCCTCCAGAGAATGAACATGGGAACTCATGAGTGGGTTTGTGTGTAAGGACTACATTACAGTTTAGCACTGATTGATTCTTCATTGTGGCTCATAAGACCAAGCAACACGTGGTGTACAACACACTATCAATTCCCAGCAGCAAAATATGTGCCGTCCTTAACAAACAAATCAAGCCCGATTTCATAATTTGTCACAGTGTAGGGGGCTAAAACAGGATTTGGTAACATTGACAATAACACCAGTGTTAGAACCTGCAAGGACAATTACACTTTTTAAACATTTATCTCAGCATTTTTCAAATTGTGCAGCTTTAAAACGGGTGGACATTTTCTGAAAACTGGAAGTAACTTGCAGCTTTTGGCAAAACTGGTGCAAAACGTGGTCATGTGACTGTAAGATTCTGCAAACGGCTGCAATTGCAGCTGTGTTTATCAAGCACCTGAAATGTAGTTCATAACTTTGTATGGTATGCAACCTGTTATAACTCAAGGCTGTACAGTCGTAATGAAAAGAATGGCTGCATTGTCAGCATATAACAAAAGCAGACAAAAGCTAGAATTAGAACCAGTATATTGCCATAAGTGAGTCTCGGGGGGAAAAAAAACCTAGATTAGAGTCAGTTTATTGCCATAAATCTTAGGAAAAAACCTAGACTTAGAGCCATTTTATTGCCATAAATAAATCTTAGAGGGAAAAAAAACTATAATTAAAGCCAGTTTATTGTCATAAATAAGTCTTAGGAAAAAAAAACACTAGAATTAGAGCCAGTTTATTGCCATAAATAAATCTTAGGGGAAAAAGTTTAGTTTAGTTTATTGTCATTGCACCTCGTACAACGAAATCAAACACCATCTTCAGTGCACATCATGACCATGAAAATAAACAAACACACATCCTTCACACTGCATACATTGAACTGAAAACTCGCAACACCACACCAACACTGCACTATACACACAAAAGCTAGAATTTGAGCCAATTAATTGCCATAAATAAGATTTTTTTAAAAAAAAAAACACCCAGTTTATTGGCATAAATGAGTCTTAGGGGAAAAAAACTAGAATTAAATCCAGTTTATTATCATAAATAAGTTCTTGTACTACCGTCGATTTTATGGCATATAATAAATCAAAACCCCAATTCATGGGGAATCCATGGTTAAGAGGAAGAAAACACTTTAGCTTTACTTTAATAGACAGTTAGCATACATTTATTTTTAATCCAGTGTTATAGGTTTTTCTTAAGACTTAGGTCATGTGAATGGTGCATCTTTCATTGTATTTTATTGCAGTCAGCCCTTTTGGGCATATTTCATGGAAAAGTTTAAGAAACCAATTTTGTCTTCTACAGATGATGAAAACAGCCCTTGTAACCATCCAGTAACTTTTCCTCCACCTGAGGGACAAGACTTTGTAGAAACAGGACCAAATGAGGTTCGTAAACATCTGGCGGGAGTGGGGAGGCCTTGCGACCAGCTTTTTGTAACAGCGACAATCTTGGATAGGTAATCCTCGATTTACAACTGTCATTGAACCCACCATTATGATTTTAGGTCATTAAGGGGTCGTTATGTGACTGCACCTGGTGATTTTATGATCTTTTTTGCCATGGTGGTTAAGCCAATGCAACGGTCGTAAAAAGCAACACCGCAGTTATTAAGTGAACGCCACAAAGATTAAGTGAATGCTACAGTCATTAAGTCAACCCTTTAGTCCCGATGGGTGGGGGTTTTTTTTGCCAGAAACTGGAAATAAATGCCGGTGTCTGGCAAAAACATTATAAATTGTGGTCAGATCATCATGAGGCAATTGCAAATAGCTATAAATGTGGCCTGATGGCCAAGTTCTGAAACTGTGATTACGTGACGGGGGAGAGGTTGCCCTTAGCAACTTTGAATCCAGGTCCTATCTATTTTGTGGTGTGTCATAATGGTTGCTAAGCAACCGATCGTAAGCTGAGGATTGTCTGTGTTATAAAAATAGATTAACTGACATTGGCTCTCATGTATTTTAACATAGAACAGTCAGTAAAGGAGTAACAATGCTCATATTTACTATATATTTTTTTCTGAATGTTACTGGGTAGAAATTTTGATTATGTGACCGCTAGGATGCCACAATGGTCGTAACTGCAAGGACTTGTCATAAGTCACTGTTTTCAGTGGTTGTGTAACTTTGAACAGTCGCTAAACAAACGGTTGTGTCAGCGTTCCAGCAACCCTACATTCCGCCCAATAACTCCGAGACAGACATCTTCTCAAAGCTTCCTTTTATTTTGGGTAGCAACTGGCACAAAATCCATCCCCTGTACCCACCGTCACATCACACGGCCCAATCACCATCTATCCCAAGTTAAGACTTCCTCTCATTTATGCACAACGCCACCTGACCTTCAATCAGAAAAAGAATGTTATTATGTGTAACTAGATATACTCCAATAAATTCCCCCTTCTCACTTTCTGATCTAAACATGGCTTCCAAAGCTGACAGGTTGTATGTTGAGGACTACCCGTATAGAGAAGGATGATAGACTCAGTTAAGTTCTAGAGTGTTTTCAATAGAAGCCAGATAACTGTCGGTCCAAAAGATTTAGAAGTTCCTGCACTGAGCAGGGGTTGGGCTAGATGACCTTTGAGGTCATTTCCAACTCTAGAATTCTTCAGGAAGTACACAATTTGTGTTCTGGTCCTTCTGCCTTGTTTTTTTCCTACTGGGAGGCTTCCTACCTTGGATTGCCAGCTGAAGCAGCAAAAGCGAAGTGGGTTTCTGGAGGTCAACTTGCAAACCTTACGGGGTTCAGTGTTTTATGGCCAAATACAGGGAGCCTAGTGGTTAAGAATCAGAATCCCAATAGAGTTGGAAGGGACCTTAGAGGTCTTCTAGTCCAGCCCAAGCAGGAGGCCCTATACCATTTCAGACAAGTCCAATCTCTTCTTAAAAACCTCCAGCGATGAAGCACCCACAACTTCTGAAGGCAAAGCTGTTCCACAGGTTAATTGTCCTCAGTGTGAGGAAGTTTCTCCTCAATTCCAGGTCCTGCCTGATGGTGCTTTAGAAAATAAGTTGCCCCCACCCCGCTCCTTTTTGTACCACCCTCTCAAATATTGGAATACTGCTTTCATGTCCCCCCTAGCCCATTTTTTCTCTAGAATAGCCAAACCCAAATCCTGCAACTGTGCTTCGTATGTTTTAGTCTCCAGGCCTTTACTCATCTTAGTTGCTGTTCTTTGTTTGCACTTTTCCCAAAATCTCAACATCTTTTTTTATAATGTGGTGACCAAAACTGGATGCAGTATTCCAGGTGCGGCCTTACTAAGGCTTTATAAAGCGGTACTGACACATCAGATGATTTTGATTCTATGCCTGGTATTTATTCAACCAAGGGTTGTATTAGATGTTTTTGGCTACTGCTGCCGCATGTTGCTGGCTCATATTTAAGAGATCGTCCACTAAGACTCTCTCACAGTTATTGTTTTGAGCTGGGTTTCGCCTAATCTCGTGATGGCGAACAGTATGTCATTTGTGCCGGCATGCGAGCTGCAGGCAGACTCACCTCACTGCGCATGTGTGTGCCTCACAGCTGATTTTCAACTGGTTTGAGGCCTTTTTTGGCCTTCCAGAGGCTTTAGGAAGGCTTCTGCAGGCTTTTCAGGCCAAAAACTAGGCCCATTTCATCACTTCCTGTTTTTCCGGAAATACCAGAAGTGATGAAACGGGCCTAGTTTTCGGCCTGCAAAGTCTGCGGAAGCCTTCCTAAAACCTCTGGGAGGCGGAAAAAAGGCCTCAAACTGGCTGAAAAATCAGCTGTGAGGTGCAGTGCAGGTAAGGGGTGGGTCGGGATTGCGTGTGCATGCGTAGGGGGCGTGGGAGGGCATGCATTGACTTCTGGGTGCTGGCATGCGAGTGCAAGCATGTAAGCATGCGCACAATTTTTGCCACAGGAGCCCCAAAAGATTAACCATCACTGGCCTAATCTGTACTTGTATCTTTGGTTTTTCCTGCCCAGGCTAGAAAACAGGAAACCATGAGTTCAAGTCTTGCCTTAGCCATGAAAGCCAGAGCTGGGTGATCTTGGGCCAGTCACACACTCTAAGCTCAACCCACCTAAAAGGGTTGTTGTTGTGGGGGAAAATAAGAGGAGAAAGGTTTAACAGATTTAACAGATAATCAGAGTTGGAAGGCACCTTGTAGGTCATCTAGTCCAACCCCAGTGGGAGACCCTACACCATTTCTGACAAATGGCAGTCCAATCTCTTCTTGAAAGTCTGTTGGATATGCTCACTGCCTTAAGTTATTTGTAAAAATAGTACAGGGGGATGCAAATAAAATAGAAATCACAATTTGAGCTTCTTCTCGGTTCAGGGATCGGTGGATTTAGAACTGGCTGTGCATTTCACGGAGGGAGAATGCTCTTCCCTGGACCCAGCCCCAAAAGCCTTTTACAAAGAGATTCTGCAAGATGGTCGTGAAAAGGAAACATCTTTGGGTAAGCCAAGAACCCCTTTCCATTATTACCTGGAAGAAAAGAGAGAGAAAAAGGTTGTTCCTGTTTTGTTTTTTTAAAAAAAAACAACCCTCCATGTTGTGTCCTTTCCTAGCGTGGTACAGCTGAAGCAAAATGATTTCCTTAGCCACGTTCGAAGATCGAAGCAAGGAGTGATTTTTCTTTTATTTTTTGAGTGGGGGGTAGAAGGAATAAAGAGGCACCTTATGGCCGTGGTCGCCAACTGGTGGGCCGGGGACCACTGGTGGTCTGCGAGAAAATTTTGGTGGTCTGCAGAGAAATGTCCCCCCCCAAAGCAATTCAGGTTGTGCGGGAACACAAGGCTACACTGCCCGCATGGCCCACGCACCAATTGGCCCCCACCCTTCAGCCAAGCGCAAACTTTACCTTGAGTAAAGCCACGCAAGCTGGAAGTGGAAGGTAAGACCATTGGCGGGGGAAGGAAATCTGCCCCGGGGTGGCTTGCTGACGTTGGTGGGGAAAGCCGGCCCCATATTCCAGAGCTGCAGTAGTCATAAGACTGGCCCTTTGGTCATCCCTGAGCAGCTCCTCCAGTCCATGGCAGGCCGGTGTACCCGGGTGGAGGAGCAGCTGCTCCGGGATGACCAAAGGGCCAGTCCTGTGACTACTGCAGCTCTGGAATATGGGACTGACTTTCCCACCAACGTCAGCAAGCCACCGCCAGTCAAAATTCATGTTAGTGGTCCGCAGGATTTAAAATTAGGAGTTTGGTGCTCCCTGAGGTGCAGAGGCTGGATGTCCTCATTCACGTTCTCCAATTAAATATACTCGCAGTGTCAGGGTTCTGGCGGTTATTCCAGTTAAATCATGAGCCTCGAGCCACACTCCCAAAACTAAAGAGGGTTTCTTTGAAGCTACCATTCTACGTCTGGCGCTAATCTGGGCGTAGCCAACTCTGAGATACGTAATTCACTGTCACTCTGCTTTCCTCCACCCACCCCTCTGGGTGTATCATCCAATGAAAAACATCCATAGCCAAGAGTCATCAATCATGCTCTCCAATTAGATTTTTTGTGTGTGTGTGGCAGAAGCTTCAGTCATCTAATCAGTCTTTGAAGAAAACATCAGTGGAATGTACTTTCGATTCCACACTGCCGCCTGCTCTTTCAAACTCCCCTCACCTCTTCTTTCTTTTTGTGGTCAGCTATAAAACGTGTATGCAAGATGTTTTATGGATTGACACGTGGGCAAAAGCTCTGGTAGTTTAGTTAGAATCTTTTAAAGATAAGAGTTGGAATGTACTTCCGCTTCCAAATTGCGGCACTCCTCTTCCAGATTTCCTTCCTTCCCCCCTCCCCCACCCCCCCTTTTTTTAATGGCAGCTACTAAAACAGGCCTAGGAATGTTTTATGAGGGGAAATGCATCAAATTTGCAGACCTGACATCAACGCAAGATGATAGGCTCAAGATCCAGAAGGATCTGACTCCTCCAACTCTAAGCTGGCCTTCTCTAAACCTATGACAACACACGTGTAGTCCTCAACTTACAACAGTTCATTTAATGTTCAAAATCACAACGGCACTGGAAAAAGGGGATTTATGGTCCTCTTTCATACTTCACCACCGTTGCAGTTATCCCCCATGATCACATCATCAAAATTCAGACACTTTGGCAACTGGTTCGTATTTATGACGGTTGCCGTATTCCGGGGTCATGTGATTGATCAGCTTTTGTGACCTTCTGAGAAGCAGAGTCAACGGGGAAGCCAGATTCGCTTAACGACCGAGTTACTAACTTGACCATTGCAAGGGTTCACTTGCCAACGGTGGCCAGAAAAGTGGTAAAATGGGGCAAAACTCGCTTAACAAACGTCTCCCTTAGCGACATCAATTTGGGGCTCCGTTGTCATAAGTCGAGGACTACCTGTACCGTTGCAGCAGCCCCACTGGTCACGTAATCATAATTTAGGCATTTGGCAACAGGCATCGTACATTTACAGCGGATCTGGGATCATATAATCGCCATTTGCGACCTTCCCAGCAGGTTTCTGACCAGGAAAATCGACGGGGGAAGCCAGAATCAATATAACAGAGTTGGAAGGGACCTTTGGAGGTCTTCTAGTCCAACCCCCTTCTCAGGCAGGAAACCCTATACCATTTCACACAAATGGTTGTCCAATCTCTTCTTAAAAACTTCCAGTGTTGGAGCATTTACAGCTTCTGGAGGAGGCAAGTTATTCCACTGATTAATTGTTCTAACTATCTGGAAATTTCTCCTCAGTTCTAGGTGGCTTCTCTCCTTGGTTAGTTTCTGTCCTGCCCTGAGGTGCTTTGGAGAATAGCTTGACTCCCTCTTCTTTGTGGCAGACCCTGAGATACTGGAACACTGCTATCCTGTCACCCCTAGTCTTTATTTTCATTAAACTTAGACATACCCAATTCCCGCAATCGTTCTTCATATGTTTTATCCTTCATACCCTAATCGTCTTTATTGCTCTTCTCTGCACTCTGCAGCAAAAACAGGCCACTGTCTTACTTGGCAGTGGAAAAATTGAGCTCAGTTTTGGTTTTAAGTCGAATCGTAATCTTTTAAGTCTTAAGTGTGCAATACTCCTTTCTCCTTCTTATGTAAATTAAGGACCTGTCTCCTCTCTGTGTTTCTTCTGCATGTATTCTGGTTGTTTTGGATTTAAAAGTATGTTTTTTCCCTGACTGCCTCTCTTCTCAAAGTAATCTTTACTCTCTACAGGTTCTCTCATTTTCATATACGGGTAATCCTCAACTTAGGATCATTTGTCCCCAAGGTGCTTTTTCAAGAGCAACTGGACCTATTTGGGTTTTTCTTTGAAGACATTTCGCTTCTCATCCAAGAAGCTTCCTCAGCTCTGACTGGATGGTGTAGAGAGCTGGTCATTTGCGTTCTTTTAGAGAGTTGTTGAGGCCGCTCGGAGGTTTATCTGTGTCCTAAAGTCACCGTGGGGGAGGGATAGCACATCAACCATCTCCAGTCTACAACGTAGTCCTTTCGGCCGTTCCAAGGAGGCTCCACACCCATTAGCAGTACTCAGGAGACCCTGGGGACACAGATAAACCTCCAAGTGGCCTCAGCGACTCTCTAAAAAGAATACAAACGACCAGCTGTCTGCAAAGGAATATAAATCCTTCCATTCCCCACCATCCAGTCAGAGCTGAAGAAGCTTCTTGGATGAGAAGCGAAACATCTTCAAAGAAAAATTAAGTCCAGCTGCCTCTTTGGGATGACCATGACCTGGATGACTGAGAGTCTGCATAGACCATTTGGGGTTTTTTTTGACAGCCTGAAGTTACGAAGGCTTCAGAAAGGGTGTTTGATGGCCTGTAAAAGCACTTATGACTATTGCAGACTGTTGCACGATCCCCTGTGGTCAGCTGGTCAGCTGAGTGTGATTTGGTGGCTTGGCAACAGGCTTGCCTTTATGACTGGTTGCAGAATCCTAAGGTCACGATATCATGATTTGGGATGTTTTTTTGCTAGTTTGGTTTCTGGAAAAAAATACATCCCTTCAGCAAGATGGATTCACTTTAGGACTCATCATAAAACTGGTCATAAATTTGAGTCCGGACATGTGGTAATTCATCTGATGACGGCAATGATTTAACAATGGAAACTCTGGTCCCTATTGTAGTTTTAAGTTAACAGATAACAGATAATCAGAGTTGGAAGGGACCTTGTAGGTCATCTAGTCCAACCCCCCTACCCAAGCAGGAGATCCTATACCATTTCTGACAAATGGCAGTCCAATCTCTTCTTGAAAGTCTCAAGTAATGAAACTCCCACAACTTCTGAAGGCAACTTCTGTTCCGTGGGTTGATTGTTCTCAGTGTCAGAAAGTTTCTCCTTATTTCCAGGTTAAATATTTCCAGGTTTAGTTTAGTTTATTTATTTCTTAGGTTTGTTGGCCGCCCATCTTAACCACGGGGCAACTCTGGGTGGCTTTTAGTGTTCAAAAAATAAAGCCACACAAAATCTATACGCAATACCAATATAAAACCCTATAAAATTACAAATATTCAACCCTAGCCAAAAGATGGGTAGGAAGGCAGTTAGGGTAAGCATTGCAGGGGGAGTGGGATCTATTTTTAATCTGTTACAATGGTACCTCGCTATTTGACGGCTTCAAAAACTCGTCGAATTTGCTACTCGACATATTTTGATGTGAAAATGTCCTGATACTCGTAGTTTCTTTGGTATTCGGGACACTACAAAAGGAAGAGCGGGGGGGTGGCAGACAGGATATTGGCCATCCTGGGAGGGCCACTGCAAAAGGAAAGGGGATCGGTGCAAAGGATGGACAGGAAGTTGCCCATGCTGCGAAAGTCATTGACATAGCAAAAATGACAGAATATATTTTTTTTCTCCAGCCAAAACAGAGTCCCGTAGTTTGTTTGGCACTTGTAATTTTTGATGCTGGTTGTGCCTCCCACAACCAATGAACATCGAGTACCAAGGTACCAGGGATGCGGTGGCCCAGTAGCTAAAACGCTGAGCTTGTCGATCAGAAAGGTCGGCAGTTCGGCGGTTCGAATCCCTAGCACCGCATAAAATGCAATGAGCTCCCGTTCCTCGTCCCAGCTTATGCCAACCTAGCAGTTTGATAGCACGTAAAAAAATGCAAGTAGAAAAATAGGGATCACTTTGGTGGGAAGGTCACAGCGCTCTGTGCGCCTTCGGCGTTTAGTCATGCCAGCCACATGACCACGGAGACGTCTTCGGACAGCGCTGGCACTTTGGCTTTGTAACGGAGATGAGCACTGGCGCCCCCTAGAGCCGGAAACAACTAGCACGTATGCCCGAGGGAAACCTTGATCTTTATCAAGATACCAATGGGGAGGCCGGATTCATTCAATAACGGGGTTACTGACTTAACGGCAATGATTCCCTTAACAACTGTGGCAAGAAAGCTCATAAAATGGGTCAAAATTCATGTAACAGTTCTCGCTTAGCAGCAGAAGTCTGGGGCCCAATTGTGATTGTAAGTTGA